GTCAGTGGTGGAGGAGGAGGCGGTGTGAGTGGTGGAGGAGGAGGCGGTGTGAGTGGTGGAGGAGGAGGCGGTGTGAGTGGTGGAGGAGGAGGAGGAAGGCGAGGAAGTTTCGGTGGTGGAGATAAAGGAGGAGGTGGTGGTGTCAGTGGTGGTGAAGGATAAGGTGTCAGTTGAGGAGAAGGAGATGGAGGAGGTGTCAGTTGAAGAGGAGGAAGCGATGTCAGTTGAGGGGGAGTAGGTGTCAGTTGCGGAGGAGGAGGAGCCAGTGGCGGAGGAGGAGCCAGTGATGGAGGAGAAGCCAGTGATGGAGGAGGAGGAGCCAGTGAAGGAGGAAGAGGTGTCATTGGTGGAGGAGGAGGAGGAGGAGGCGGTGTCAGAAGAGGAGTGGGTGTTGTTATTCTGCTGGTGGAGGAAGAGCTGCCGTTTCCTCCTCTCCAGACGGCGGGTCCTGAGGGCGCGGCGGTCATCCTCACTCATCACCAGGTGAGGCTCCATACCAATCGCCCGACACCGTCTGAACCTGTAAATAATGACTTGATCGAGTCACCCTTGACCTAGTTTTTACCACTGTCTGTGTACATTGTTTATATACCTGCACTGTCCTTGTACTGTACGATACATTCTGAATTAATGTGAACTTATCCAAACGGTTACTGAACAAAATACTCAGTGCCGGATTAACCATGAGGCACTTGAGGCACTGGCCTCAGGCCCCTATTAAGCTTAATCCGGCCCTGAAAATACTACATCTAGCGGGAACAATAATTTTATCAGTTATGAGCGATATTTCCTCAAAGATTCATATTATAGTTTGTGGGGAACAGGTTGTTTGGTTCACACTCAGGACGGGATGGAGAAAGGAAACTCACAATGTGCTCTCTGTATACATGTTGTATTGGATGTACAATGCAGCTTGGTGCTGGGAAGGCAGCATGGTTCCAAGCGTGATGTAGAGAGAGCTGGTTGGTGAGGGTGCTCAGAGGAGGACAGCTTGTGGGTCGCCACGCTCGCCGGCGGGAGTGAGGACCGCCAGGCAGGAGGAGGAGGAGGAGGAGGTGTTGCTGGCTGGTTGGTGTAGGTAGAAGAGAGGTCACCACGAGGTCAGGTCTTATATAGCGGAGGTAGGCGTGGCTTAATAGTTGACCTCCGCTATGTAAGGCGGCGCTGGTTGACCTAGACCACGAGGCATACACTGGGGAATTCGCGGGGTCGCCTACTCAGCAACAAGCGTTTGAAGGGGGAGAAATCCACTACAAGTTCTCCAAATTACACGTCAACAGGAAACAGCTACTATTGCTGTCTGTGGTAATTATCATACCAGCCAGTATAAGAGACAGCGTAATAATGTTAACCGATCGCCCAAGAGGCTAACGAGCCAATCAGTGGTGAAGAGGATAAAAGTAAAAAATAAAGGGAACTTGATTATTACAGTAGTGTGGTCCTATAAACAAAGAAAACGGATGAGGGTAAACTTAGGTAAATTTTTCAGTCACCAGATGACGGATTTGGGTAAAGTTATGAAGTGTTAAGATTAAATATAATTGTATGTGTGTTTATCGTGCTGCTATGAGAGAGAGAGAGAGAGAGAGAGAGAGAGAGAGAGAGAGAGAGAGAGAGTTACCTGCAGGCCTGACAGCATATCCTGTTCCGTGTGAGGGGACATCGCTCGTCTCGAACACAGAGGAAGGTCTTGTAGATGCCGCCCTGGACGCCCCTCCTGAAGAAGGACTTACACGACTCACAGCTCACAGCCCCGAAATGCGTGCTCTTGGCCTCCTCCCCGCACACACCACACACCTGTTGATCACTTCCAAACATGTAAGTCATGACCTACACACCTGCTGGACCTGACGTCTTTCACCCCCACCCCCACCTCTCCAACATATTTCACCTGAAGATTAAACCCCCTATCGTTTCCTGGGGGTTAGGATAGGTTATTTTAGATTGCTGTAGGTTAGGTTAGGTTAAGGTAAGGTAAGGTTAGGTCAGGTAAGGTAAGGTAAGGTTTTTGGACAGTATCGTACCTTGTTCCGCTTGGTCCTGCGTTGTGCTGAACATTTGGTCGTACGATCTTTTACGTAGTCGACTAAAGCAGCAGTTGTGGGTGTTGAAGGCCGCTCGCTAACCCCTTCTCCGTCACCTCCCGCCACCGTCCCGACGCCCTCTGGTGTACTGTTCATGACTCGTTGTCTCATGGCTGCAGGAAACACTAAAGCATCATTTCGTTAATACTCGGGTATATACACGATGCTAAAATACGGATAATCTGACGGTGAAGCCAACAGATGTTCTTACCACATATAGATAACTTGTTTTAATGATTCTAACTGATTGAGTATTAATTCATATATTAAAGTTTGCTATGTTACATTTAAGAACACGATTTACTATCATAACACAACGAAACTACTCCCCAGGAACCTCCCAGACGCAAACTACCCACAAACAAACAAATTATGACCCATTGTATATACTTTTCCGTTCAGTCATGGCGTGTAATGAAGGCAAACTCAGGTTGACGAGAGCTAATTTTCTCAACAGGGTGACTTGTTGACCTACGGCTATAAAAGTTGATACACACACACACCCACCCACACACACACACACACACACACACACACACACCCACACACACACACACACACACCCACACCCACACACACACCTTACAGCATCGTTTATAAGGTAAGGATACAGTCTTCAATACCTCTATCATATTTAATGAAGGATTTTGAGACGGAAAAAGACAGATGTAGACAGAAAGACAGACACTTTATGCTAACCACCCTATTCACACCTGACACCAATTAGCAGTAATAGAGGACGTAATCATGCTAAGGGTATATGACAATTCCAGGTGTGTATATTAATTACTCACTTCAGGTGTGCCAGCAGGTATGAAAGAGGAAAATTCATGTTAATTAAATGTTGATTGTGTTTTACCCGACTTTAGTGTGTGACCTCATCAGCTCTCTCTCTCTCTCTCTCTCTCTCTCTCTCTCTCTCTCTCACACGAACAGGTTCAAAACAAAACAGCTTCGTGGCAACCTTGAAGCTAACGTGATCTGAGGTACACTTTAGGGTCACCTTAGGGTCACTTTAGGTACACTTCAGGGTCACTTTAGGGTCACTTTAGGTACACTTTAGGGTCACTTTAGGGTCACCTTAGGGTCACTTTAGGTACACTTTAGGGTCACTTCAGGGTCACTTTAGGTACACTTTAGGGTCACTTTAGGTACACTTTAGGGTCACTTTAGGTACACTTTAGGTAAACTTTAGGGTCACTTAGGTTCACTTCAGGGTCACTTTAGGTACACTTTAGGGTCACTGTAGATACACTTCAGGGTCACTTTAGGTACACTTTAGGGTCACTTTAGGTACACTTTAGGTTCGCTTTGGGTACATTTTAGGTACACTTCAGGGTCACTCTACTTAAAGCTTACTCGACGGATTAAGCTGAAGATAAGACACCGTAAAGCCAACTGGAGGGGGTAGGTTAGGTTAGGGTGGTTAATCTTCAGGTGAAATAAGCTGGAGGGGCTAGTTTTTAAGGTGGAATAGGCTGAGGAAAGTTAGTCTTATGGTGAATTCAGCTTGGAAAGTTAGTCTTCAGGTGAATCAAGCTGGGAAAGTTAGTCTGAAGGTGAAATAAGCTGGGGAGGTTAGTATAAAGGTGAAATAAGCTGGGAAAGTTAGTCTGAAGGTGAAATAAGCTGGGAAAGTTAGTCTGAAGGTGATATAAGCTGGGGAGGTTAGTCTAAGGATAAAATAAGCTGGGAAGGCTAGTATTAAGGTGGAATAAGCTGAGGAAAGTTAGTCTTAAGGTGAATTCAGCTTGGAAAGTTAGTCATCAGGTGAAATAAGCTGGAGAGGCTAGTTTTAAGGGAAAATAAGCAGAGTTTAGGATTCAGTTGATCTAAGAAAATGGTGTTGAATGAAGGATGGTAGACTATGGAAAATAACACAGGTGAAATGTTACAGTAATAACCTACAGCACAATTTATACTATTAACTAACCCAACCCAATCTGACGTAACCTAACCCAACCTGACGTAACCTAACCTAACCCAACCTGACGTAACCTAACCTAACCCAACCTGACGTAACCTAACCCAACCCAACCTGACGTAACCTAACCCAACCTAACCTGACGTAACCTAACCTAACCCAACCTGACGTAACCTAGCAACCTGACGTAACCCAACTTTAACCTAACCCAACCTAACGTAACCTAACCTAACCCAACCTGACGTAACCTAACCTAACCCAACCCAACCTGACGTAACCTAACCCAACCCAACCTTACGTAACCTAACCTAACCTAACCTGACGTAACCTAACCTAACCTAACCCAACCTGACGTAACCTAACCCAACCTAACCTAACCTAACCCAACCTGACGTAACCTAACCCAACTTACAGTGAGGTGGTGAGGATGAACTGCCAACACACACTTTGGGGTAGTGGGCGAGAAATGACACGTTGGGGGATACACTGTACCAGCTCTGTTCACCTAAACCTGAATATATGATAAGTTTTCCTCCTCATGACGATGTTAAGGGGGGGGAAAAACAAGAGGGAAATATGCATGATTTCAAGGTGAGGTGAGATGCGGGTGCGAGCGGGTGCAGGAACAATGGGCAAGATTTTTATACGCTATTTGCATCTGTCGTGTACTGGGGTAATAGTTAGCCAGAACAGTTGGTGAGTTGTCCGGTCTTCTCGGATTGTTCCTTGACACTGGATCATACCGGTTTTTTTAACTTAGTTACTTTTATCCTCTTCACCACTGATCGGTTCGTTAGCCGCTTGGGTGATCGGTCACGTCTCTGTTAAGCACTGTTGGCAAGTACTGGGCATACACTGGTCTTCAAAGAGCTCACACTCAGTGCCGTCACCACACTCTCTGGCAGATTGTTCCAAGAGTTCACAACTCTTACTCAGAAAAAGTTACCCCTCACAGCTATCCAGACTTGCGGCTTCTTTAACCACTTGATTCCTCAAAGTTTTACCTGAGGCACTGAAAGGTGTTTGTGGAGAAAGATCAATGTAGAATCCCAGGCATGAACTTGGGCCTCCAGGTGAGGCTTCTGACACCCGCCCAACAGCATGGTATTCTTGATTAGCTTATGATATGTTGCACGGCAGAGAGGCGAGTCAGGTGGTGTGGCCTGCAGGCATGTCTCTGTGAATCTCGGAGTTGTTGCCCTTGGATTTCCTAAGACGTTCAATGGCTTGATCTGCAAAAATTTCACTATTCCAATTTTTGTCACCTAACCCAACTAGGAACAGGACGTGAGCATCAGCTTTCTCTATAGGGATAATTGTCTCTGGATGGTCCTCTGGGTTCTCCAATGCTCCGTAACACTCCAAAACACCATCCACCAGCTTCACACGTGAAATATCAAAATCGAGTGGAGGGATTGTTCTATCTTGCAGATGAAGGTCAGACTGCACATTATTATTGCAGCCATTTATCCAAACTGCTGCCTTCACCTCAGGGACGAAAGTGGCGAGGGACAGTGCAAGATCTCCACCTTTACTTGCTCCAATGGTTCCTACACTTGGCTTCAGAACCTGGAGGCAGGAATAGACAACCGCGAACCTTTCCGGATCTAACATGAATGCGCTGGACCTCCGGTGACAGCCACAGGTGTGTCAAGGTGGCCAAGGGCTCACCTACAACAGGGGAACACTGCCTCATCACTCAGGTGACCCTGAGGGGTTTTCCACATCCCTCTTGAAGAAGCGAGTATATTTGTGTGTGTGTTTACTTTTGTACTTTGGGAACCAGTTTTATCGTGAGAAACCTTTATGATATTGTACTATGTTTCTGTGTCTGTCTGTCTGTCTGAGGGCCAATGACGGCAAGCGAGGGGTACAAGAACAAATTTCCTTTCCCCCCTGGACAAAATTATTCTTCATATCACTCCTGGACAAAATCCTTCCCCATATCCCCCGAGACAAAAGGATTCCCTACTTCCCCCTGGACAAAAGGATTCCCTACTTCCCCGGGACAAAACTACCTTTCATCTCCTGGACGAAATAATTCCTCATCCCTTTCCCTCACAGAATTCCACTGGACAAAATATCGACAGACAAAATATCTCTGGACGAAATCTCAGCTAACAAAATCCAGTGGACAAAATACTATCAAAACACTTGACAAAAATACCACCAGACATTTCCTCATTGGACTAAACTCGACTAACACCACTGGACAAATTCCCACTGAACAAAAAATAAAATAAAAATCTACTGGACATTGTTCCAGAAGGCAATTTCACAGCATTATTGGACCGAACCCAAAACAAATCAACCGAATCATAAAAGAATTAGAATCAGTTGTCGTGTCGTTACCGCTAATCGACCAACACCGCGGCGTCTGGTTGGCTGATAGCTTGTGGGGTATGGGATGTTTGGTTCACACTCAGGACGGGATGGAGAAAGGAAACTCACAATGTGCTCTCTGTATACATGTTGTATTGGATGTACAATGCAGCTTGGTGCTGGGAAGTGGCAGCATGGTTCCAAGTGTGATGTAGAGAGAGCTGGTTGGTGAGGGTGCTCAGAGAACCAGCTTGTGGGTCGCCATGCTCGCCGGCGGGAATGAGGACCGCCAGGCAGGAGGAGGAGGAGGAGGAGGTGTTGCTGGCTGGTTGGTGTAGGTAGAAGAGAGGTCACCACGAGGTCAGGTCTTATATAGCGGAGGTAGGCGTGGCTTAATAGTTGACCTCCGCTATGTAAGGCGGCGCTGGTTGACCTAGACCACGAGGCATACACTGGGGAATTCGCGGGGTCGGCTACTCAGCAACAAGCGTTTGAAGGGGGAGAAATCCACTACAAGCTAACTGGAGACGCAAGGGACTGATTTGTTAACCCGAAAGTAAGATGATTTTCACTAAACTAAAATCTGTTGTCATAAGGTTGTAAGTGATGATGCCAGCCAAGAGTTACATTAATCATAACCCGAGCTGTAAGGAGAGCTGCATGGGGTAAATGATTACAGGCTTCCTCCTCAACCATGGTAAATTATCTGTGTGCATGTCCGTCTGGTATCATGCAAGACTTAATGCTCTGTCTCACGGTAAAAACATACACTGCATTTCTTCGTTCATAATTTTTTTTCCGTCTTAGCAAAAAAAAAAATCTCGACTTTGCTGCATCTTACGCTGTGTGAATTTTCCTTAGTAATAATGTTCGTGGTTGCCGGAGCTGTCTGGTTTTGGTGATGATCTAGGGCGGTGCTTGGTCGAATCGAATTACGTTCACTAAAATTTATAAACCTTTTTACACTCACCAGTAACGCTCTCAAGATAAAAATAATTGCAGTACAGGTTACAGCATATGGTAAATGTATCGTACCTCTGCCACCCTCTATATGTCTGCCCGCGGGAGAAGTTGGTCAAAAAATAGTTTAGTCTACATACCTAGTGAGGAGGGTGTGTACCGTGTGTGTGTGTGTGACTATTGTTGACTGTGTATATTGTGGATAATCGTTTGTATATTTCGTACAGTGTAGTGGTGATTAAAATTTTAGCCTCTTCATCACGACTCGTCACCCGTACTGAGTGTTGAGGAGCGGCAAAGGAAATTGAATCTGCTTTTACCTAAAACTGATAGTGGACGAGATAACAGCTTTTACACGTTGATATCATCTACTGTGGGAGAAAAGTGTTTCATAGTTATTTCCGCCTGACGGGATTTTAGTTCACCACGTATATACAGTATATGTTTTTAATGAATTCGTGTGAAATTACGATATATGCATTGGCCAAAATTCTACTGTCATTATAAGCTCTCTCAAGACGCGAACTAAACTTTCAGTAATAAAATCTTACAAAACTAATTATTTTAAGACAATAAATGACTCAAAATGGTAATATATATGTAATCAAAACAAGAGTAGAATCAAATTGTAATGATGAATTTCAACTCCCCAAAACATGTATTTATTTTTGTTTTCATGTAATGTACTTGTTCACGCTGAACCATCGGCACGTGACCTCATACAGTACAGGAACAGGGGTCCATGACAAAAACGCCAGGACAAAATCCCCACCGGACAAAAACCTCATCTCTACTGGAACCTAACCTAACCTAACGTTAAATGAAATTCGTATGAAAATAGAAACGGGCGATCTAACTCCCGACTGTATTCAATGACTGCTGTAGAAAAACTGAATTCGTGCACGAGTGAACAAGGTTTTTATACAGTTCGCCTCATGGTACCACACGTCATTAAACAGACCTGAGAGACCAGAGATTGTGAGGTCACGGGTCCCCTGAGGTCCCAAAAAGCGAGGGCAGTAATGGTAAGATCTAATATTAAAGTGGATTTGTAAGAAAATTATTGAAAACTTTAAAAGAATTCTGTTTTATTTTTTACTATGTGGGGTTTTTGTCCGAGGGGATTTTGTCTGTATCCCCAGGAACAGTGAGTGGCAGCGCGTTATCAACTTAATAGCTGTTAGGGCGAATGGTGTTACTATTTTACGAACTCTGTTGTCCATTACTAGTATAGGTGGAAACTGGAGGAAGCTTGTTAGTGGCGAAGAGCATAAAGCCAAGACTCCATCAGTACAATAGTGAGTTACCACGCAATATACCGCCACACCAACTAAAGGTAATAACAATGTAACAAAACAACAAATAAACAATATGAAAAGTTATTAAACTGATAAGTAATAAAGTAAACACAAATAGAATAAGATATTGTACTAGAGAAGCCATGTGGTGCCACGCCCCCAGGGTCAGTGACTCAGTGGTAGACATTCTCCAGGAAACTTTTTACTCCACTATCTTCTCTCATTATTTGACTGACTGTACATATATAAAATTCAAGAGCATATTTAGATAAAATTTATATATAAGAAATTTATTGTATTCATTTTTAATTATGTTGACCTTATTTTTATTGTTTTTTTAAAGATATTTTGATTAATTAAAACAATAGGAGTGTAATTGCTCGTTAACCTTAAGGGACAACACAACATGGAACCTTAACTGTCCGAGAGTCTGATTGGCTGTGGCTTTAAATATTCAATACTAGTTTATATTTATCTAATTGTTGTTACTAACTTACTAATATTAGATTATTTTAAAACTTAAATGAGAGATAAAGTGGAAAATTTCACGATATATTTGTAAGTACTTTGATGTATTAGTTGCATTAAATGATTGTAATGTTATATAACCTGTTGTAGTAAAAGATACGAACAAGTAGTGTAGATCTTGTTGTGGGAGGTTGTCTGGTCTCCTTGTACATATTTACCCTTTTTTTTACCTGAATAAGTGAGTGTTTAGTTGTAATTATATAGTGAATCATGTAGCGAAGTAATGCCTTTAGACGTACATTTGATAATAACAATGTCTTTAAGGCTGGCAGGAGTCTTAATAGTTAGTATTGTTTAGGCTTTTCATTTAAATGTTTATATCAGTGCAGAGGTAACAGATACCGTATGTTAGTGAGGATAAAATGACTGAATTGACTTAAGAAATATCATGTTAGGTCATGTATTCAGGAAGGCGATGAAAGATGTTTTATTGGTGGTCAGTAACTTCGAGCAATATGTTTAGTAATACTCTAGCATATGGTTCTGTGTTACGTAAGTATTTTATAAAAAAAAGTTCCAGAAGAAAACTTAGTTCCAACCTTGAGAGTATTCTGTTAAAGGTGGAGGAATTGTTTTAATACTTCGTTAATGTGACAATACTTGATGAAAGTGGTCTAGCCGTAGCAGTTACCTCATGAAAGTTCTCCATATAAGATACAAAATTAAGTAAAGATTTGGTAGAGTATATAATGGAGAATCAACATTGGTTTCCACAAATTGAGTAAGACTTTGAAGATAAGGGAAATTGTGGGGTAATAATGAAAAAAAATCTTTGATGACCTGACCTTCTCAATCTAAGTTAAGTCCTGAATTAGAAAAGTACAACTATCTTATTTAACCAATGAAGGAAGTGTGTGATGCAGAAGTGTCATGTTGTGGTCATTGTCAGGGCGACCAGAATAAGTGGAAAAGTGCGAATCATGATAAAATTAACATTACAGTGAATTCTCTGGTTATTTTTTTTTTATATTTTCTGACCTGTGATAGCCTTCATGACAACACCAAATTAGAATACTACTGGAAACCCTAATGCTCTTCTATCGGTTAAGTAAGGTAAATGTGTCTAATATTAGGTCATCTTCTACATTAAGAAAGGTCAGCTCAGGTTACCAGAAGTTTGACTTGTGTATTTTTTTAGTTTTAACCCCACATCTTCCCTCATCTTCAAAGCCCGACCCATTGTGAAAACCATTGTTGTATCTCCATAAATATACATCAGCGTCAAAAGTAAAGGCCATATTCTTTTACATCACCATCAAAAACATAAGAAATCTATTTTTTATTTTTAGTAGTGATTTATCATTACCTACTCTACCGAATCATTACTCTTTCTTGCCTCTAGAATATCCACAACACAAGAAAAATTATAACTTTCCTAATGCTATTGTTCCTCTTCAGTTTTTGTTAAGACTTGGGTCAGGTAACATTCTAACAGAGGCAGTAAACTTAACAAGTATATAATTCATTTGATATATTTGTGTATGAAAGAATAAAGATTTATCACAAATATATAGAATATGTTGTGACTGTCTCTTGTTTGGTGTTTATATTAAAGGTAAACTGCATCTAGAGAAGTATTCAGTGGGAGAAGCTTTCATTCATTTACGGTCATCCACAAAACTCCTGTTGCCTCTCCTGAACCACGAACCCCGAGATCCAGACCCGTGAATCCGAAGCAGTAGACACGAAGCATTATTCTACCCATAAATGCTTCGGATTCACGAGTCTGAATCTCTGGGATTGTGGTTCAGGAGGAGAGACGGCTGGATATTTTTTGGGTGACTGTCTGACTTAATGACCAAGAACATACATTGCTGTACGTTGGTTCTGTCAGGACTACAAGACATGGTTCATCTGTTGTGTTTGTATATGAATTATCCATGTCCTCGGATCACCTGAAGAATCTCTACCGCAAGTTATTTCACTTAAGGATTAATCAACCTATCCTAACCTATCCTATCCTAACCTAGCCTATCCTAACCTAGCCTATCTTAACCTAACTTAACCTAATATATCCTATCCTATCCTCAACTAACCTAACCCCCCAAATAGTGTTATGGTGGTTAATCTTTCGGTGAAATAAGCCGGGTTGGAGATTCTTCAGGTGATCCGTAATCTTATTCTTACATTTTCATTTTTGACTCGTTAACATTTTTCAGACATAACAATGGGATTTGACGAGTTCCTAGTAGTCCTCAACCCTCACCAGCCTGTGTACTTCCCCGGTCAGAATATTCGAGGTTACGTCAAAGTTAAAGTGTCGTCTGAGGTGTCATGTCGAGGTTAGGCCACAGATTGTCTTCATATTCTCACTGAGTTGCCTTTGAGAAGTATTCACAGTACAGTTCCTTAGATCATTAATTCTAAGTTTGATTTGATTTCCTAATTCTGTATTTTGATTAGATATTTTCCTGATTTCATGTAATAACTTGTGATTTATTAACTGTACTTGTGTTGCTCTATAGTCCATATTGGGTTGATTATTTTAAGTTTATTTATAATTTCGTCTGAACATTTTAGAAAAGACAATATACATTTATGCACTACACAATGATACTCTTGCACTCAGGAGAACCTTCTGTTATGTGCCAGTGAATGAAAGGTGATGATTTCTACTAAATTATGTAAATAACCTTTGTTGAATTTTATGCAGTGGAATACAGGTGACATCATTTTGTTAGATAAATGACCACAAGAGGTTGCTGGCACTGAAGGAACTGTTTAAAGTGACTGAGCAGAGGGGAAGGTGAGGAGGATATGTTAATTGTTTCATTAGTGTGCACGACCTGGGGCCACCAAGGGATAATGAGACCAATACATCTTTATATACAGTGTTTATAAATTGATCCAGGAAAAACAAACTCAGATTATCATGTAACTAAAACACTTTATGATGTGAACAAGAGATAACTGACCTTAAAGTGGTCACATATATCATACAGTAAAAGATTAGACTGACACATAAAGGGACTGAACAGTATAATGATTATTTCCCATGCAAAGACATAGTGTACAGTATATCCATCAACCCACAGGGCATTATAGAGGTCCTGATGAAGTTATTTGTTTGGGGGGTTGAGACCTGGGGGAGGTGTGTGTCTCTGTGTTGTGGTGGTGGGTGATGAGAGGGGAGAAATACCTGTCCAGTACTGAGGTGTGTTCCAGTACAGGATGAGGTGGGGAGGTTATGAATGTGTTGAGATATGAAAATAAACGTTGACTGATGAACCAAGCAGTACAGTACAGTACCACTTAAGGAAATTAATATATGTAATGACTCATACCACAGGCTTTCACACCTCTTATAAAACTCATTCACTGGCTCCATTTAATCTAATCTAACTTTGCTTATTCTAAATTTAGCTTTCTTAAATGGAGGATGGTGAGAACGTGCATGGTGGCATCTGTTTAGACCTAGACACAAGTGGGGGAGTTCAGAGAAGGTAAGGATAAGGAGGATTTGGGTGACACGAGGCTTAATCTTTGTGTTAGGTTTAATGCGACTTGTTAGCAAAAATTGAAGGGTCTTTGGTTTTAATTGACAACTTGTCAGCCTGTCCGACAGAAAGTATAGATGAAACTGTTCAGGTTATAGAATCACATACCATTTGTCTGTCCACTGAACACTGAATGAATGATCAGTGGAGACACAAACTTGGGATTTGATGACATAACTTGACAGCTTCACTAATGACACCGAGGCCGGGACAAACATGACCATCTTCACATATATTTTCTTTATTTCTTGGCATTTAGGTAATGACAGTAGCCATCATCAGGACCGTCTATAACAAGAGAAACAACAATGTACAGTACAGTAGACTCGCTTTATTTCACGGTCTTATATTTAACTTTCGTTGTTTTGTTCTCTAATTTTCTTTATTATGCCGTAAACTCCTTTATTTCACAGTATAAGCCCAGAAAAACAAATAAAATGGACCACTGCATTTATCACTTGATGAAAAGTGTTTATAGTGTACAGTACAGTAGGGTACAGTACAGTACAGTACAGTACAGTACAGTACAGTAGGGTACAGTACAAGCTGTTTTGTATTGTGACTGAAAATTTTATATCCTACAGCACTATGAGCAAAGAGAGAGAGGAGTGTAAAATAGATGCTGGTGTGTCTGGTGGTACTAAGTTATGCTATTACTTTTGATAAGATAATTTATACCCTTCAGAGTCCCCTGAGAGCTGCCCTTCTACCTCCTAGCAACAATTTTGCTTCTTGTCTGTAACTACAGCCAAACCGTGATATACGGGGAGGATTTAGTTTATAAAAATTTACAGTTATGAGGAATTTCAATTTGTCTCTTGCTTTGATGTACACAAGGGAAACCCCCAATTCCTCCCCCCCCACAAAAAAAAAAAAAAAGTTAAAACTGGATATATGCTAAATAATGTTGCTATTTTACTACATTACCAATATGCTTAACTTATTTCACTAACTTATTTCATTATTCACAAACACTGTCAAGGTTATTAAGTCTACAAATAAGCTTTGAGTGTGTCATCTCTCTCCTATAATCACCACATAACTTACTCCTTAACTCAGGTGAAGACAAGTAGACTCACCACTAACACAGTCACCCAGCAAGTGCTTGATGGTTTAATTTACCTTCATTTATTCTCTTATGATAAACTAAATAAGTGGAAATTATTGTGAATTATTAAATGGCATTGCTAATTAGGTACACTACAATAAAGGTGTAGAGTTGTAAAAGAAAGTGTGGAATATGAAAGTGAATAATTGTTTGGAGGTGTGGCTAGTGCTGGCAACGCATGAAGGAGGGCGAGTGGAGTGTCAGTTGAGTGAGCTAAGATGCTGGCTGACTGGCCGGCATATTAACATATTGCACCTCTATATGCTGACCATTTTTTTAGAGTGATTTTAAGATGTTGCTTTTTAAACATTTGAAGCTGGCCTACAGTTCCTCACGCACTGTCCTTGGTACAGTTTTTGTAGATTTTACTCCCCCTCCTTTTTTTTTTGACACAGCACTTTGTTTGTTTTTTAGCTCTGTTAAACTCTATTCTGTCACTGGTGTTTCCTTGAGGCCTCACAGGCATCTGTTGTATTGCCACTAGCTTCCAGTAGTTTTTATACTCACATGTGTGAAGGTCTCATCTCTTATTAAAGCTTTTGTGTTTGTGTCACAAACTGGGAGCCTGTCCTCTAGTTCATCTGAGCTGTTGGGACATGGAAAGGAGGAGACAAGCAAAATATCCCAGTCAGTTGTCAAAGTGTCAAAAAGTCCCACTTGGGAGATGAAAGCTGTGTATTATCAGTATTTTTAAAGAAATGTTTTTTCTTCTGTATTCAGTGGTGCATGCATTGTTTTCAGACATTAGCCACCTTCATGTTATTTCTCAATAGTTCAGGGTTTTACAGGTCACTTAAGATGGCCCACAGGTCATAAATGAAGGATTAAAGAAGTTCTAAATTCTATTTCATAACTTGGGGGAGACAAGAAGTGATCTAGAAGACCAGTTTCTTACAGCGACAGAGTTTAAAGTGGAGGGCTACTGTGGAGGCAGAAATGTGATCTGTACACTTTGACTGAAGAACATACGCAGCTCATTAGCTATGACTCGATCATTGATTTCAAATCTCCTTCTGGTTCATATATGATTTAACTGACCCAGATTCAGTTGGGTGAGAAAAGCTTCACCTGGACAGTTTAACTGCCATTATATGATGAAGTTTTTCATTGGTCAGGTTATCTTGCAGGCCGTTTCCTTCCTTCCCTCTGTTACAGAATGGGATCTCATACTCCCAGACACCATTTACAAACACTGGTCACTGTTAACTTGAGCAGCCTATTGCTCAGGGATAGAGGAAGTATTATGTAGTCTTTGGATCACAATTATCATCCTTTTTCAGAACTTAAAGTCACAACCAAGGGCAAAGGAGAAGTTCGTTGGTCAGAGCGGCGAGGAAAAACAACACACCATTATTCATCTGAAGAAGAATACATGCGTCAATCAGTGACTGTCTGGGACGGCAGATGTAAGCACACTTACCAAATTTTCTTGTTGTATTTTTGATTTACAAGTTACAATTTCTTGTTCATCCAAAGGTCATGACTTATTTATGTCAGCACCAAAAAGTTGCATTATCAGAAATACAGTAGTATTATAATTAACAAAGCGCAGCCTGACCTGACCTGACTTGACTTTTGGTAGACCACTGGCTGTAGTAGCACTAAAGTAACTGTCAGTGAGAGAATTTCCCTGTTACCTAAGACAGTACGTTTTGCCATGAGAGCCTAGGAAAAACCACAGGCCACGAGTAATTGGCATTAGAAAAGTAATTAAAATTATTGAGGTGTCATTTGGACATGTAATTATACAGATAACAAATTACAGACAACAGATCCTTGATCATCATGTTCAGGAGTACATAGTCGTATATTGTGATTTTTAACAAAATTGGTGAGATCTAGATTATGGCCGAAACAGTAAGCCTTACCCCTTAATATTGGGAAGTAATCTCGTACAGTATATATATTTATTTCAAGTGTTCCTTTATTTCCTTCACAGATAATGATAATAGAATGATTCCAGGCGAGTATTCATATCCCTTCCACTTCATCTTGCCACACAATATTCCGTCGTCATTTGAGGCAACACACGGAAAGGTTCGCTACCAGGTGAAGGTCGTGGCCGACAAACCTTGGAGCATAGATCAGAGTACAAAGATAATATACTCCGTCAATCACCTCTATGATCTCAATTTTCATTCACTATCACGGGTAAAGTATCAAGGGCAGTATGTGAAGTAACTGAGCTAGTACAACATAATCCATAAGTTCAGGACATAAGTATTATAGTACAGTAATTAAAACTAATAAATATGTGTTTTTTTTTCAGAATCCTTTGTATAATGAGAAAGAAAAGACAGTGTGTTGCTGCTGCTGTACCCGGGGGCCTATATCACTGGCGGTGTCCGCTCCACGCTCCGGCTACGTCCCTGGTGAGAACATCATCATCAACGGCCATATACAGAACCACAGCAACTCAACCATCAAGTACACCGAAGCCAAGATCGTACAGGTTGGTGAAGCATGGATTTATCTTTACCGATGTGTTGTCGTGATTAGTTGTTTGATTGATTAGTTGATTGATTGATTGGTTGGTTTTTTGATTGATTGATTTGGTAAAATATCTGGTGTCGCAATCTTTGGCCATTTGACGACGAAAACTTGTCATGATTATCTGAGAAAAGATATATTGTACTAGTAATAATGGAGATGATTATAAAGTAATGAAAGAAAAATGTGAAATATGAACGAGGATTTAGTGGGAAGAGTTGAGCAGTAGAGTGTTCGTTGACCCTGTGTGCACCTTTTATGGTCTATGATATTTACAAACGGTGGTATACTGTATTTACAATCTGCTTGGTCTGTTGCAGGTTAGGTACAGAGTATTATATCTCGTAGCTTAAACTTTTATTTTTTCTGTTTTAGGAGAAGTGTGACATTTTTGGTTTAGTTAATTGTATTCATTTTATACAGAACATTGAATACATTACATCCTCGAAGACTAAGGAAGAGCATCGCACTGTCCAGCGGGTCTACCGTCCACAAATCTTGCCCGGGGGGAACGATGTTTGGGCGAATGTTCCGCTGCCCGTCCCAGCTGTGCCTGCGAGCCAACTCAAACATTGCAACATCATCGACATAAATTATACTTTTGTGGTATGATAACAGTTCTTTTTGATACAGTTGTAATTTTTTGTTCTCTTCATTTATGTTTATTTTGTGTGATTGTATATTATGCCACAAATTATTATACAGTAAAAGTATTATTATTATTATTATTATATATTTTTTATAAAATTGCATAAAAGTATCCTTGTAATACTGTATAACATCGATTAATATATATAATATGTAGTAGAAATACCAGATGATGCTGATAATTGAAATAATAAACCTTTTTTTGCAGTTTGTTGCCAAACTTGGAACATGTAAGACCGCTGAGGTGGTAAGTGCTCTGATAATTGGGTCTATCCCACTACATGGAACTTACCCAGCATATGTCCCGCCAGTGAGTGCTGCTGAAGTTGGAGGAACTTCATTGGCCACCACTGTATCTCTACCTTATGGGCAGTCATTACCCAACCAACCTGCAACCTCCTTGGGAGCATCTCCAAATATTGCCAGTGCTCCTCTGGCAAGTCATGAAATTTACAGAGATCATGAAGAGACTAGAAATGATCTTCCTCGGTATAATGGTGAATTTAGGGATGACCCGCCCCCTTACCCAAGCACCTTCATGCCTGATGATTACAAAGATATACGTGAGTACAACACTCCTTGTTTTATATGATCTATGGATCTTGGTAAATGTCTTGTGAGAGAACCCAGCCATTAAACACTCTCTGCTTCCAGTGGAGAGGGTTCCTAGTGTAATAGTGAGGACACAAATTGGCACATCAGTTTCTTTTTTGTAGCAGCAGAAGGTGAAACAGTGTACAGGTATTTAGAAGTGGTAGGTGTCTTGGTAAGAGGTCAGATAGAATTATGTTGAGTTGTGAAGCTTTGGTTATAAATTTGACTTCTTAATGCATTTTAAGACATCTCTAGATTCTCTTTAGAATGACCATCGGGATCATTGTCACTTATCTGTCCCTCACAACTTGTTCTCGAGATCCTTGAGTTGGTTTAGAAGCTGGCAGAAGGTCTTGAATTGGTTTCCATGTAAGTGGTTTTTTTGATGGCCTTGGCTCTGGGTAGTCATGTCTCTGAGCTTCATGTTGTGAGAAGAGAGCCGGATTTGTGACCTTTAGACGTGTTCATAGCTGGGCAACCCTGAAGTCAAAATGAGAAACTTAACCGTAGGTTGAAAAACATTTACTTTTTGTCGTGGAAAAAGGAGGATGCGTCACATAATTCCTTGTGTGCAGTGAAAGGAATCAGTGACTTCATTAGCATCACATGGCCATTTAATCATTAGTCTTCCTGAGAAGTTTGTTCCCTAAGATGATACTTGAAAGTGGACTTGTTGTTATTCAGGAAAATGTGTGTTGTTGAGGAGTTTTTAAGGTTAGTGTGGTAATTCATTATTGTAATTTAGTTGTTTACGGTCTTCTTTTCTGTTGAGAAATGCAGATGAACTGATGCCAGGTTCTGGATATCCATTACTGTATGGCCAAGACTGAGAGCTGCTGTAATACCAAGATGCTTGAATTAGTTGTCAGCCTTCAATGTTGAGGGTTAGCTTGGGATGCATCACCATAGACTTGATGGTCAAAAGTAAGAGTTTCCCTGTCGTGACTCACCTTTGAGATGGGATACCCTTGTAAGCCTTGGTCTTTTACTGTAAAAATGTGAAGAGCTTTTGAATGTTGTTGTTCTTGGTATTTACATTTATAATCAAGGAAAACATTTTGTATTTATGCAGATAATATTGGCTTAGTCTTTATCAGCAGCAGGTTAAGTGAGAGTTACCTACAGATATTTATTTATGCTTTTGGGTCATTATTGATGAATCAGAGGCCTTAGAATGATGACACTTTTTGAATTTACACGTTTATGTTTCAGCTCCGCCGTCATATGACTCGTGTGTTTTCTCTCACGGACAAAACGGCGTCAACAGAGGACCAAGAGGCGGGACTACTGGCAGAGACAGCGATGATGACGAGAATGACTTTGCCCCGCGCTATGTTACTTACAGTATGGGAGAGACAGTCTACCACAACTATGGCAATCTCTAACACCTGCTTGATGAGGCCCAAGATGTGTTGTGCAATACATTTCAACAGTCAGGTTTTACCAGAACAAAAGAAGAAAAATATATATATATGTACAATTTTGTTTACCACTGCCTTATACGTGTATTATTAATATTTTGATTTAATTTGCATTGTATAAGTGCATTTATTTATGTTTGTGTGATGTTAGAGAGAATATATTAGGTAAATTGCATGGTAAGTATTTAAGTATAGGTTTATATATACGGTATAGATATTTATTGCCCGTTTGTTGTATGATCTGCCTGTATGTGCATTAACAAACACCATCAGTGGTTGGATTAGTTTGGAATTATTGTCATTGGGAATCTTTTTTATTAACCCTTTGCCAGGTGAGTTTTAGAGGGCCACCCCATCTGTAGGTTAAGTACAACTTCCTGAAGCTCAAAGGAAAAAAAAAAAATATGTGATGGATCTGTAAACACTCCATCAAAATAAATAGTTCGGGAAAAAACACAATATCTTAATTTTGAAGTTCATATCAGAGGCTTGGGATGTTTTGACTTAATTTCTAACACAACTTTAATAACATCATCATTTTATGGCCATATTCTGTGAGTGTGTCGGTCAGCTGTGATAACTTGATGGCAGTGTTGTGTGGTCTCGTGCTGCCAATCTCATCAGGTGTTTATCCCGGAGATCGTTTCTGACAGCCTGTGGTCATTCTTGGCCTTCCCACACTCTCCCATCCACATTCAAACTCATGATGGTGTTATATTCAACTTTTAGTGGTTGAGTTCAGGAGGGAGGGAGGGCACACCTGGTAAGTTTCTCCTATCTGCCTCCTTGTGCAAAAACTGGAATGCAAGGAACATAAAACAGCCATTGATGTGAATACAGTACAGTACAGTGACCATACCTGGCAAAGGGTTAACCATGTAGTGAAAAAGTACAAAGGTGTAGAGACTCGTTAGTGTAGTATCATTCAGTAAGAGGAGAGGTTAGATTAGGTTAGTGTTGCAAAAGGCATGTTAACACAACACAGGCAACAAGAGGAGAGGGAGCAGGATAAATTATGAATCAATGATGTTTTGTATAGTTCCTGTGTAACCATGAAGCCTTTACTAATGTATGATGAAGTTATCTCATTAAATAGTACAGCAGTAGGCTTTAGTAACTCAAAGAAGTACTGTTGTGCAGGAAAGGAATTGTTCCTTTTTTGAAGAGATTCATTGTGTACAGCAATCAGTTTATTATGAAATGGCTGGACAGCTACTGTATTAAGGTCCAAGAATATGCCCTCCCTTAATTCACCAGGAAAGTTTTGATAAATAAGATGCTCTAAAATGCATATTTATATTTTTTGTATAATACCTGTACAGTATATGCAAAAAGGAACACGAAAAGTCAAGTTTTGGCCTGATTTTGTATTATTTTAGATAAACTTTATATATATATATATATATATATATATATATATATATATATATATATATATATATATATATATATATATATATATATATATATATATATATATATATATATATATATATATATATATACACTTGTATATATATATATGTGTGTGTGTGTATGTATGTATGTATCTGTATATGTATTTATGTATATTTCCTTATATAACCCAAAAGTATATCATATTAAGATATTTTTATATTTCTGTTTACAATAATTAAAGGCAGGTCCGTCCCTTGGGTAGGGTGAACTGGCTTAAGCACCCCAGAACCCAGAGTCATGGTCAACCTTACTCAACACCCAGACTCTTGACAATGAGGTCGTTCTTGGTTGTGCTCCAGTCAAAAGGACGTTGACATTTGTCGTTGAAACTTTGGAATCTCCGTTTATCTGGGTTTTGTTTGATGCGTGTTCTTTGTTTTGTGTTTAATGTATACAACCCATTATTTATTATACCATGGCTAGCAGGGACAGGCAAATAGAGAAAATGCAGCTCAGTGGGCAGAGAAAAGTCCATTAAAAAAGGAATTGTAGCCAGATGTGGTCACCGAACACAATTTAGGACTGATATAAAAGTTTCTGCAGAAGTATAGACACTGGATTTACCTCCACCAAGATGATAAAAACAGTATCCGAGATGGATGTAGAACTTGAATCCAAAGATCGACGAGTGATGAGTAAACGATGACGACTTCCATCTATAAGTGAGGATGCTGAGCCACAAATCTTGGTGAGGAAAGATTTGAGAGGAATAACTATCTGGTTATCATGGATCAGACACTCGTGCTACTGACAGTACATGCAAGAGAACGCTGGTAATTTAAGCTTCCTGTATGAATTGAAGAAACTTAGAGAAATTACAGAGAATGACTTGAAATGCAGTTTATGGCTTTGGACAACTCATTGAGTGTTGGAGATTCCCACGACATTGATGGTGCAGATATATTTCCTTAAGCTTTGTGTTCTCTAAGGATTCATTCCCTAAGGATAAACAAAACCTGCACTTGAAGATCCTCAGTTTCTTATGTGTTTTAATGCTTCTTTCCTAAACACAGAAATAGCTGTAAGATGCTGCTGACAATTCCAGACACTGGCATCGGGAAGCCAAGTTTTTCCCTAACTTGGATTAATGGAAAAGGTTACCCGGCCTATAGGGAGAACTACTGCATGTCTCGGTAGAGGTTGAAAGGCTTGGCTCTCTTCTACATTAAAAAGGAATTGGCAAAAAATTTGGATCATCATTATGTGAGAGCAGAATTTGGTCAGAGAAAGAGAGGAAGGTGAATCAGAAAGTAGGCAACTGTGAGCACTGCTTAGTTTAAACATGAAACTAAACCTTCTTGTTCATATCTATGAGACTTTATGGATATAAAGTTCACCAAATTGTCTTAAACACAAGTTCAGAAAAGTAAGATAAAAATATTTATTTTCCTTAAGAATAAAAGGTAATAAATTACATAACACAATGGCAGTCTAATTTAGTGGTTATACCCTGTAATAAGTACAGTGTGTAAGTAAGCATAAAAAAGGGAAAAAATAAGCTTTTTTTATTTCCATGAATTAATGTTATTCATGGAATGCAACTTTTTCTATTATATAAAATATATAAACATTAGCTATACATAATGCATATAAATGTGTATTCTTATACAGTATAATTTTTCAAGAAAGTAAAGGAGGTTGACCTGGTAATACTGACCAAAGGATGAACCAATCAAATCAACCCCCCCATCATGACAGACCACCTTCTCTTGCTCTGGTCAAGCTGAATATTTAGGCTTTAATCAACAGTGAAGATATTACCTTTAGAGAAAATGTTCTTAATATGAGGGACATTTTTCTCTCCAGTTTGTATTGCTTAGGTTGTAAAAGGACTTGTGTATCATCACTTATAAGAGGGTCATGGCCGGCATATAGGACAAGGGGGTGAGGGTGTTACTGTGGGTAGTTTAGTTATTACTGCCTAGTTTTAGCTTGGTCTTGAGGGAACATATAATACATCAGTCAAAAATGTGGCTATTTGTTGTGAAGAAGTGGAGTATGGCACCTTGTGTGTGGGTGTTTGTCCTTCAGTCTTGCTCTCTTGCCATATATAGTTTATATTTTCATGGCTGTGACCTAAACTGTTTATTTTCTGAGTAAATTCGTGTATTTGGTCGGTTAAGCCTCCGTGAATTATGGACTTGGTCTATAATTAAAATATGGGAAGGTGAAAACTTAGTAGAATTTAGCTCTTCTAAAGCCCAGGACCCCTCCATTACCTTAAGTCAGAAGTACTGTACGTACTTACTCTTGTACTGGTGCTGTATACTTGGACTTAATTATGGATTTTAAATTTATGGGAGTAAAAAAAAATTGCACCTTTACTGTATTTAGGAATTTTTCCCCCTTTTTATAAGATTTTTTAAAATTGTACTGTACTTAATTTTATTTGGTAGGAGACATTTAATTAGCCAGTATTGTATATCTGAAGAATATGAACATTACTCATGTTTCAAGCTGTTTGTAATGAATTTGTTTACAAGCCAGCGGCATATCTCGAATCCAGCTCTACACTTCAACAGAACTCTCCAGTAGTTTCTTGCATCATCCAAGTGATTTACCCTATTTAGAGATGTTAGGCAAGTGGTCAGCAGGAGTCATGGTCAGCAGCAGTACCTCTAGTGGAAAAAGACCCCACAAAGCCACCAATTGAAAAGTTAAGTAAGAGTGATAGTGACTCGGTGTGTGAACGCTGCCCCAACCCTGAGAGTTTTAACTGATGACTATTGCCGGTACTGTAGAGAGCCATAGTGAGCCACGTAGCATATACTGTACCTGGTAATATGAAAGATGAAAATTAACAGATTAATTTCATGAAGACAAGGAAGCGAAATTAAGTGCAGTAGAGGACATTAAATTCTTGTAAGATGAACATTAATACGATGAAGCGAATAAGATTAACTTGATACTGATCCAGCGAACCTTCTTGCTGTGCTGGGCTAGAAACCTCGTGCGGCAGCCATAAGAAACCTGCAGATACTTAAAACTGGACACCTGTACTTTAGTTGGTAAATGGTGTATAATACTGTATATAAAATATGGATGGTGAGATGTCTGTATACTGCTCAACACCAAGGTGGTTTATTTAGTGTTGTCTACTTGGTCTACATTTTCATTTTATTATGCCTGCAAAATATTTAAGTTGTGTTGTAAAGTGCCATTTAATTATTTATTGAACTTTTTCTTTTATTTTATTTTCATGAATTTTTCTCTCAATTTAAAGAGGTAATCATTCATTTTATAATCAGTGGATAATATAATTCAGTTAATCATACAGTACAGTAGTTCAGTTTAGGATAAGTTTTTCAGGAGTACAACCCTATACTAAATCATGGTATATTGTTTGATAATGATACACCTGCTTTTATTGATCTTAATATGCTTAGTTTAGTTATAAAGGACTTGTCATTGGTCACCCACATTAATCTCTTTGCTGTATTGTGTTTGTTCATTGAAAATTATGATGTTTTTGTCACCCAACCTTCACATTTTATTTCTGTTCTCTTGTCAAAGTACAAAGTTGTCAGATGTGACCTGAATCCCCAGCTGTTCTGGTACTGGCTTTCCTCTCTAACAAATAAATTTACCCTATTTATATGCCTTGAGATGTCTCTTTGTGTCCCTTATACCCCAACACCTCTTCCTTGATCTAAATGAAGTAGCCTTTGATTTCTTTCCCCAGAAGAGCTCATTTACAACCAACCAGGCTCCCCTCTCCAGACCCAGCACAGTATTCTCACCAAGACACATTTACAAAAAGGGTAATATAATGCAGTAGTTTTTGCAGTACATTTAAGGAAAACTATAGTGAAGTGCTCGTGTGTATTACTGGTCCACACATATTGTAAGCCAAAACATAGAGAACTACAGGTTGACATGAGAGGGTGCATTGCTCGAGTGGTTGTCAGGTGGTAGCAGGGTCATGGTGAGTGGTGATGAAGGCTGGTCCACTGGGCTACAAGGGGCACTGCTAAGTACCACCATCCTCAACCTGCTTACCACCATCCTTAACCTGCGTGCTACTATCCTCAACCTGTGTACCACCATCCTCAACCTGTGTACCACCATCCTCAACCTGCGTGCCATCCTCAACCTGTGTACCACCATCCTCAACCTGTGTACAATACCACCATCCTCAACCTGTGTACAGTACCACCACTGCCACCATTATCTTCAAACATACAGGAACAGAAACTAACATCTCTATGTTGAATTCAAATCCTGATTTTGTATTCCAGCAAGTTATGAGTTAAGTTGACCAATATTATCATTATACTGTACTGTACCTTTAGATTTATTTGTATGTTGTATTATTTTTGTGATGTTATATTGTTATTCATTTCAGGTTTTAGGCAGGAGTCTTGCCTATAGGTCAAGCCATTCTGTGGAAAAAAAAAGATGAGATTTGCTTCACGATTTATGAGTGTTTAATTTAGAACTAACAGTTTTTGGTGAGCAGAATCTATCCACTGTCACATCTTACTGGTATTTCCATGATTCTGAATACTGTACTGTACTGTATAAGGGAAAACTTTTGTCTTAATTACTAATACTAATTTTTGGAGTTAGGTGTAACTTGATATTGCCTGAAGGTCACTACCTCAATCAGTAGCTAGATGTGATGCAAAGCGGACATTAGTACCGGTAGCTTTTATACCGTGAGTTGCGGAGAGGAATTTATAATGCGTATTTTTCTTTAACTTGTCAATATTTTATACTTGTGGCATTTTTGTATGTCTGTTAATGACTGTTTACACAAAGCACTGTTTTGTAAGAGGCTTATTGGATGACAAGTTGAAGCACCAGTACTCCAAAAATATCCAGAAAATTTCATCAGACAAATTTTGTTGCCAGAACTGATTCCTTGTGTCTTGGAGATGTCTTATAAAGATTAATATGACCTTGATGTCAAATATTGTTCATAGCAGAAAGTTAGGATAAAATTATGATGTTTAAAATGACACTTTCTTTCTGCAAACTTTGGAATCTTGACTTATTCCATTTCACCTCTCAGAGAAGATTGCTTTGTACCATACACCTGTACCTCCTGAACATTGTTGATAACTTGATAAAAGACGAGTAACTTGTGTACTGTAGTGTGGAAAAGGCCACGATTATGTATACTATATACCATAGTATTGTCTCACATAACTTGTCACTTTGTATGCTAAAATGCCTCACCTAACCACCATGAATTGCTTCTTTGTACTTTTGAGACTTTTATCACTTGAACTATTCTTGAGTGTATATTGTACAGGCTCTCATAACTGACTCACTCTCTCACCGTTTCTTATAGCAAGTAATTGACAACTGCTTCACTTATATAGTTAACCATGACAACATTGAGAATTCTTGTTATAAAGAATTTTTAACTTAACTTTCTGGATCTTTCGTACTTAAAGGTGTAGAGGCGGTGAAGAATAAAAAGGTTTGTCTGAGGTGCTGCTCCACCACGTGTGTCAGAAATAACTTATTGTACATTGTGTGGTGCAACCCTTCACTAAAGTAGAGATATGATGGTTTTTCAGCTCTAATATACAAATGAATATTGAATGAATGTAATTATAAAATAGGACACCACTATTGTACTCTTTTGTAAACCTTAGTTACTCTTGCAAGATTATATTTAGCCAAAGATATGTTGAATTATTTACATTAGTTTAAAATTATTAGTCTCCATGATGTATTGTAAAGGTTTTATATTTTTCTCAGTATTAATTAATGAATAGTTAAGAGCAATTATGAAAGAACATCATAACTTGCACATATATTTGTACTGTATTATAATTTACAGCCTAAAACTGAACCAGCGGTGCTTGCTTATTATTTAGTGAATTTGTCTTTCTGCATTTTAGATCACTCTAGATTTACAGTAGATGAAATATGATACAAAATCTTTTGTATTATACAGTATGTACAGTATGTTTGAAAAAAAAATCCTTTATATAAGTTGTATTCTTAATCACTGTCAGTATATCATTACACACCCAGTTGTATGGCAGAGGATCATGAGAATCACAATCCTGTTCTTCAGCACAGTGGGACCATCTCCACCAGTCATGAAGGCAGCATCTAAACAAACATTCCCTACCATGGTCACTGAGCTTGAGATTATATGTAACCCTTACACTTATTGGTTGCTTGGTTCCATTTAGTTCCATCCTAATCCTCAATAAATCATGTGCACTACAGCATAAAAATATGCAGCACTGTATAGATGTAACACAAGCAAATACAGTACTGTACTCTTATTCACATTATAGTACAAGGACCTTGGGTGAATAAAATACTGCATTTAAAAGACCATGAAGCATAGTTATACATTATAACATCAACATCAACCAGGAAAAACTTGATGGTGAGTATTATTGTTCACTCCTGTAAACCTTTCTTGCTATGATGAAGAATGATAACAAACAGTCTAAGCGGTGATATAGAACTTTGAGAAGATGAAAGCTGTTCCTCGGGTTATCTTTGTATGCTACAACATCAGTAAAGTGCCTCAACTAATCTCCTTCACTTCTCAGCCTCATCAAGTAACTTCCCCAATAAGAGCCACATCCAGCCTCAACACCATCTTCTCTCTCCTCTGGAAATTAAGTCATCCACCAGTCCTCTGAGCACTATTTGTTCCTATTAGCAGCCATCTTCAGGGGTCAAGGTAATTAAAATGAATGATTTCTGTACATTAGTTAAGTTATTTGTTATAATTTATGGATTATGATTGTTTTGATTTTACAGGTAGGGATGGGATTTATTCATTATTCACTGTGAAATTAACATGGTTCCGAGTTATGAACAATTCAACTTACACACTGGGTCCAGGAAATGCAACAGAGACCAGGGGATGGGCACAGCTCTGGTGACCCGGTTGCTATCAGGAATGTTAAGGCAAAGATTTATGGCTGGATGCCTTCTCTAGCACCAACCTATAAAATATTCACACATGCAGGTATATGGTGGTAAACAGAAGCTTTATTTGAATCAGGATAGTCCAAGAAGAACATTATAAGCTTATTTCTATTGAGGTTCTTTGTGGGTTTGAGGAGACGGATCAGTAACAAATAATCTACACAAACAAACATATATTTGTGACAATAAACATGACAAGCACTTTATTGACTGACTCTGAATGTTGAGTCTTGTCCACAATACAGCACACACAGCTCAGTAAATCATCCCCTTTCTTGTATTATATTTACCAGGTATTTCTGTATTATATATTTTTGTGCAATTTCTGTCACTTTTCCTGTATAAATTTATAGTTTTATCTAGTGAAATATCTATAGTACTGTACTGAACACCGAGGCTTACAGTACTATATGATTAGATCTTATTAACTAGGAACATAAGTTTTTTCTTCATAATACCTCAAGTCTTGTAAAACACTGAGAGATCAGAGATATAAACTAAAACATTTATCTGATAATAAATTAACATAAGTGAGACTTTAGCATAAACAGATGTACTTACAGTATACACTCATGGCATGTGGAATTGCTTTGAATAACATACACAGTTTTTAACGAGGAGGACTGAAATTTGGAATGGTTATACTGTATTATGCATATGCACTTAATTTGGCCAAGGACAGACTTAGGCTATGAGCTGCCCCTCTAATTCATGGTGTGTGTATGCATTCTCCCCCCCCCCCATTTTTAACATAATAAGAGTTAAAATTCTGTTATGTACTGTACATGTAATAGTAAGTGTCAAAAACAAACTTGGGTAATGCTGGATACCCCAACTAGTACACATACAGCTTAACTTACATACATACAGACAGAAAGACAATTTAAAATCTAGTGTTAGTATGAGTTTGTTATGTTATATCATTTAAAGATTTCTCACATTAGCTCTTTTTGACAGCTGATAGACCAAATATTTATACAGATCCAAATAAAAATTTTTTCCAGGACTACTTTACTTTTATATCACTCCACAGAGGCGGGAAATTATTTAGAAATTATACTGAAGATACACATAGCCACAAAACAGAGAATAAGAACAAACAAAGTGACTGAGAAGAAATTAAGAAGGATTCTGTTCACTTTGAGAGCTCTAACGGGGACTGGCTTTGGTGAATGGCTGTCGTCTCTATCCATGGGGCTAACCTGATGGTCTGGAACGGGGCTAGAAGACTCATCCCTATTCATAGAAAGTCTCCGATTTCGTAGTTCGCGGATAGAAATCTCGTCGTCATCCACATTGGTTTTTATCCGTTTGACGACCGTATCCCAGGCCATGACAGAGCCAACGGGTACCACCTTGATAGTGTTGGTCGGGTGCCTGAGTCTTAGGACCTCGATGTACACCAAAGATACGATGATGGCGAAGTCCTCGGAGATGAGGACCACGAACCAGACGTCGATGAGCTTGAGGTAGGAAGTCTTGGGGATGGACTGGCTGGTCTGGGTGAACACAGTGGCCAGCACTAGCAGTGACGTGAGCGACACCATGATGCGATCCTGATGTAAGAGGTGGGGAATGTTTCTCTATTATCACTGTGTAACGATGATAATAATAATAAAACTGGTAATTATAATGATGATACCAGAAACTATTATAGCTACAACAATAATAATAATATTAAAAAATCTTACATATCTGTTGTTTGCAAAAGTCATTCAAGTAGACTCACACTGACCAATAGACAGATGCATTGACAAAAAGACACACACACAGGTAGACAGACAGAGAAACACACACACACACACACACACCTGGAAGTCCGCTATATCGAAGTGCAGTGTGACCCAGCAGATAATGGCCAACATTACACTGGGCAGGAAGGTGTTGCCTATGTAATACCCATATTGGTTCCTGAAGGCAAACTCAATCTGTAAATTGATAGAATACAAGACAAAGTGTAATATATTAGTAAAATACAAAATACAGTTGTAATAAATTAATGATATATACAAGAGATACCGGGTAGTTATATAAAATGTGTATGGTAGCTCCTTTGTTAAAGTGCCAATTCTTTTTGTAAATTCAGGTGTAAAAAAACCTGGTCTTCTACCATCAAGTTATCTTTAAGATAAATTTTTGTAATGTTTAATAACAATAACTGTAGGTATTATTATTATTTATTATTATTATTATATTATTATTATTATTAGTAGTAGTAGTAGTAGTACAGTATTATTATTATTGTACAGTAATCTTTTATTATCATTAGCAAACAAAAAATGAAAATCTGGTTAAATAAAGAGGGAAGAATAAGAGAAATAATCAAAAGAGAAAAGAATGACAGAGAGAGAGAGAACACTCATTTCTCACTTTAATATGGCTGACATCATGGAGAGTGTAGTTCTTGAAGGTTTCAGAAATTAGTGTGTACTCCAGTAGCTGACGACTACCCAGGAACTGTATCCCTTCCCCATCCTGCAACAGGAGGGAGGAGGAAATTAATACTAAAATAGTAATGGAAGAGTATACAACAATTAACTTTGTAAAGATCGTACACTAAATTATGAGAACTGATCCCACCAAAAATTACAACAATTGAGCCATAATTAGTGGAGATATTGTCCTTCAAACCACAATAACTTACAGAAAAAACGAAAGTGGCAAAAACAAGCTTCAAAGTTTCACATCCAAGTAAACACCAGTACAGGGAAAATTATTGATGTGTAGTGTACTGTATGTGAGGTGTGGTGTTGAATATTGTATGGGTCTTGTTGTATGTGACTGTGGTGCTCATATGGTGAATATATACAGTATTAGCATCCAGGTGACATCTTATTTTTGCATCAGCTGCATGAGACCCATCTGCTTTATAGTTTGTGAATTTGTTTTCCCTCATCGTGTTTCACTTGTAGGCAGCACAAATGCTCTCCATTGTTTGATATCCCACATCATTAAGCATACAGACATACAGTCAACCAAAAATTTTCTGGATGTAACACAGACCCATCGGATATTGTTAATTACTCGCCAACTATGGGTTTCCAAGGTGCAATTTTGGTGTTTTTGTGTTATTCTGAAAGTATTTAATTAGTGAAGCCCTTTAAATTCTGTTTCCAAGAGAAAAGTATATTTCGGTAAAAAAATTACTAAGATATAAGGCTTAATACTTTGGTGGTTTCTGCCAAAAATTAGATTTCGTTGAAAAGCTCTTTACAGTACAGGTACTCCTGAGCCTACTGATTCCGAATCTATGGTCTGTGATTCGATTGCGAGGTAATTAGTGGTTGTAATGACACTTGGAATATTTTAATTACATTATTTCAATCACGGTGTCTGCTGGCCAGATAAAATAAATTTCCCTGCCTTTTCCAGATATTCCAGACCAATAGACACCCTGGATAAAGGAGGCAGCAGATGAGATTTGCTCTCCACTAAGACTTACTCAAGACATTTCTGGATCAAGAAAAAGTTTCTAGGGAGTCAGGGACTGCAAATCAGGCAACATCAGGCAGCAGAAAACTATAAACCGATCAGCCTAACATTATATGCAGCAGGCAGTCCCAAGAGGGTTCTGTTCCTGACAAATCCTTTGTGAATTGATTATACAGTTCCACACTGATTCCCATTATAAAAGCTGAGATATGTCTAAAAATACCACAAAACATTCTTTAATGAAAATGATTAGTGTACAAAATGATTATAAACTAATAATAAACATACTGTACCCATAAGTGTACAGTTTAAACAATGTTTACAGATCCAACTCACCTTCTTGAGAACACCCAAATCCTGGGTCACATCCTGTATCCTGTAGACAACGAAGCACAGCTGGCGGTCAAAGGGATACAGCTGTAACTTGAAGTGGCACTTGTAACTCACTGTTTCCTCGTGCTGGTAGATCAACATGTTCTCTGACCCGCTGTACACTATGTCTGTCAGTGTGGTGTACACAGATTAATAGTGTCTTATTTAGATGTACATGATGTCAAAGTGGTGTACATACTGTAGATAAGTACAGAGCCTATTAAGATGTACAGCTACCTTACTGTAAGTCTTCAATGTGGTACAGTACTTAGATAAGTACAGTGACTTAGGGTTTACAATGAGGTAAACAGTATGCCCATCATCAGCGTACTAACAAACCAATATGTTGTCTGTACGAAGATATACAGTACTGTACAATCATCTAAAAATACCAACTGTGCATTGTCTGTGAACGTGACCTATGTACATCAACGACGTCTGTGAATGTGATGTACACGTGTGGTTGAAGGCATTGTACACTTGGTGAATATTATGTATTTAAAAATCAGTTGTACGTTTGGTTTACTTGATCATCGTCTCTGGTCATCTGTACGGTACTCTGATTAATACTGAACACTGAGTACATCTCTTTGTCATACATCAGAATTAATACTGAACAGAGTACCTTGCTTTGATGTACACTCACTAAAAAAATATCCTGCACCCTTGGCTCTGAAACCATCTACAGCGATCACTGGGACAGAAGCCGTGGTGGGTGTTATTTCTTGGTCCAGTGTGTCATACTGTGTAACCATCATAAAGGTGCAGAATAATCTTTTAGTGAGTGTACCTCGTGTATGTTGGAGAGACATTTTAAACTTTTCACATACAATAATAAAATGTTCTGAGAGAGAGAGAGAGAACAAATTAGTTTGCAAGAGAGAGAGAGAGAGTGACTAACAGACAGGCAGGTAGTGACAAATTGGTAAAGGCTCAGAGAATAAAACAATAAGTACTGTAAACATCAGGAAATAAAAGAGAGAGAGATAAATACAGTAATGTATCTTGAGTTTAATGTTTAAATATAGTATAAGTACTGTCTATACACTACACAGATACTGTACATAGAGAGATAGACAGACAGACAGACCCTCTCTTATGGTAGTGTCATCATCCTGGAGTGGCTTGGCTGTCTTGGCCACGTACACAGTTTGTGAGTGTGTGCGTGCCTGTACTGCACTCAATGTACCATCCTGTACCTGTAATAATAATAATTGGTCAACAGCAACAATGTACCTGTACTGTACATACTAATTTATCATAAACAAAACAGTATATGCACAGTGATATAATGTAACAAAATCTGTGTATGTAAGTAGAGAGAGAGATAGGTAGCTACTGATTCATTAACTTAACCTACAAGTACTGTATATATATTGAATCAACGTGTATTTAGACAATGCGGGTATACACTTTACATAAGACAGTGTAGGTGTGCCTAAAGTATACTCATTTGTTACATGATACTATTCTTAGTACTATAGTAGTTTACCTTCATCTGTGGTGTCCAAACATCTTTTAGGTCCTTCAACTTATTGGCCCTGAAATTATCTTGTAGGTTGCTGAATTTGAGCCTCCTGTCCTGCCACTTCAGCATCAGGAACACGTCCATACTGATGGAGAAGGTGACGAGACTGAACTCCCTGATGGAGGTGACGTTGAGGGAGAAGAGAATAGGTACAGGCTTGCCCATGAGGGTAGGGGGGGGCAGGCCAGAGGAGTACCCCAGGGGGACCAACACCACGTCACAGTTCATCTCGTCACTCTGGTCGTCACAGTCCACGCTAAGGTCACACCGGCGGGTCTTGCCGATGCAGGACCCGTCGTCACAAGTGTATTCGTCCACATTGCAGGATGTGAGAAGGAGTTTGACCTGTTGGGATGAGGTGTTAGGTTCATATGATCATAAGGCTTCTTAGGTTAGATTTGGTTTAGGTTAAGTCCTCTCAACACTCACCTCTTTGTGTCTACACCTGTCACCGTCGACAAGCCAGGTGTGAACGCCCACTGGGTACTCTCCCTTCGATTGGACCATCATGGTGGCTTTCAGTCCTTCGTAGAGTCGACTCTTCATGACCCAAGACTCGTTCTCTCTCCTCATGACCACGTGAGCCAGGCCGTCAAACACCAGTTCAAAGTTCTCATTATCACGGAAGGAGAACAGTCTATCAAATGCAGTGTTCTTACATAGACCTCTGAGGCGCATTTTAGGATGGGTGGTGAAGTTGCACAGAACACAAGTCTCTATCTCACAAGGACACGCCGCCCACTTGTACTTGTCGTGGGTGACTGCCGCTATGCATTGGAACTCTGGGGTAACTGTTCTGTACTCCCTCAGGAAGTGGTACCAGGTGATCGGGGTGTTGTCGGTGAGTTTGAGCCACTGTCGGGTTGTAAGATTCCCTCCCGAGCCGATCCAGAAGAGGTGGGTCCATATGTCATCACACTGATCCTTGTACTTGATAAACCTGTCAAAGAAGTAGGCGTTGGTCTCAGAGTCTTCAGGAAGGATGAGGTTACCCGTCAGCTTCCTACACCAGGAGTACGCGCGCTGGAAGATCGTCTTCTGTGAGAAAAACAGATAGAACCCGGTGACGTGGTTACCGCATATCTCCTCCAGCGATATGTTCCTCGTCGTCGTCGGGCCTTTTACTTCAAACTTATTGTCTTCTAAATCAATCAGAGGTTTCATCAGCTCCGGTATATCTCTACACTGGAGCAACTCGTTCATCTGGGAGGGCGGTAGTGCGACGTCATACAGTCG